CAATTCGTGGTACCAGCGGTAGTAATACTTTATGACCGTGCGTGAGGCGCAGTGCTATGACCGAAATTACGAGGCAAAAGCATTGACGTTCACGGGCGTTGTCTGAGTTCATACGCGTCCTTTTGTACTAGTAATTTAGCAATTGTTTTTCTAGAAAAATAATGTTATACATTTTTTGTCGGACACAACGCCTTTTATGCCAAATACCACACATTTTTGCTGAGCAATGAAGGGCACACTGTCTTGCTGTCGTTTAAACATTAACACATTCGATGAGAAATGTAACGTTTTTGGACAAAAGTTGCAACCAGGGGGTGCCCATTTGAATCTAGTTAGATCTATGCGCATCGCGGGCCGTGCTCCCAGTGATGTCTATGCTTTGCGAATGAAACGATAGCTCGCTGCGAGGCCTTCCAGCTTACTGTGTTTTGTGTGCAGGTGGTCATCCGACTTCTCTGCGACGCCAAAAGCCAGGTTACCCAATGAAGTCTCTGACAATTTAAACCGCATTTATTCTTCGCGTTCCCAATTGTTATGTTGTATAAGTGCAGAGAAAACAGTTAATACTTCCGAGAAGCTCCCCGATGGGCAGTCATGATGTGACGCGTGACGGACTTGACAGTGATTCCAGTGGCGGGGACAAACTGGCGCTGTGAGGGGACCAAACCGCCGACTCGGGGAACCGAAACCGTTGACCAAATATGGACATGGCTTCTGTCAAGCGCATGAGCTCCGAAAGGGTCCAGGCACATGACCTTATGCTCCGTGCTGCGGACACCGTGACCTTCGCCATGTTTAAACTGCAAAATTTGCAATGTGTCCATATCGGCCGAGCGCAAACAGCATTGCCGCAAATATCAGGTCATGCATGAGCTGACAAGCTTATGTACGGCTTTTTATGAAATATTAACCTGATAGTAAAGGCTGCCTTAATAAGTAACCTCATGTAATAAGTAAATGGGTAGGAATCTGATGGATAGGAACCTAGTAGTAACCATTAACAAGTAACCTGATATTAAAGGCCATTTCACATTTCGCTTCGAGGTACCGCG